CCCAAACTGGGAGAGTGGCTCCAACAACATCCCAGGAACAACATCTGAGACCTCTGTCCAGAAGAGTGCAGTCCTAGGAATGATTACAGTAATACAAAATACTGTATAAAGTAAAAATAAAACAAATTAACCTGCACTTTACCTTTGAAAAGAATTGTTGCTGGTGTGAGGGGCCATTGTTGCAGTACAGATATTGACTATACGAGTGAAGCACGAGAACCATCGGCTCAGTTGTGACGTACATCACGTGACGCTCAGCAGACAAAGCATATGTACTACTTGTATTGTGAGATCTTGCTTGTATATCGAATCAAAATTTTTCGCTCGTCTTGCAAAACACTCACAAACCGGGTTACTCACAATCCAAGGTTCCACTGTACTAAGTGCAATGTTTGAGGTTCACTGGGGAAAATATGACCCTATTTTTGTGTATTGCGGTTTAATGCTTTGTTGCCTTTATGCAACTTTTTTATTTTAAGTATAAGAGTTCTTTCTGGCCTTTGACTCCTTACCTGACTCCAAAGGACAGCTGCACAAGAATTCTTATATGCCCAGACTGTCTGTTTATGCATAAATGACAAATAAAAATCTTGACTTGATATGTTTTTCACTTGGGATATTATGATAACTTGTGACAGGTCTCACAGTTTATAACAGCATGTCAGCCAACACCATTAATAAGATGCAGAGAGTGTCTAGTGGTTTTACAGTGCTCTCTTCAAAATCACTGGTGCTCCCCAGGTAATAGTAAATCTATGTAAACAAAGCTCAACACAGACTAATAACAGGAAGGCAAAGAAGAAGAAATCAATAGTGCCAAGGTGACTACAGGCTCAGTAACACATACTGTATGTGCAGACAAATGTTTTACCTATAACATGTAACACTGATTACAGTAACATTATTTAAGATGACGTGTCATTTGTTTCATTATCAAAATATTTTGCATACCATCAACTGATTCTGGTTTTGGTATATAGGTTTCATTGCAGTAGTAGTGTTTTATCCAGAGAAAATCCAGTAATTCCATCTGAAGCAAAAATCCTCAGAGCTTTGCAAGGCATCAACATGAGTATAAGACGGAATATGCTGATACATGGATCTGACTGAACAGTGAGGATGTGGGAACCCATGGTGGGTGGAGCAGTGGAGAGCTTATCTATGTAGGGCTGCAACTATTGGTCCAGATTATTTTCTCTATTTATCATTTGGTCAATCATCAAAAAACTGAAAAATGTGTGTGACTCTCATTAAGAAAGATTATGCCAAAGTGGATTATACCAACAGTCCAACACAAGACAAGGAAAAGTGGCCTATGAGAAGATAGTCAGTCAAATATTTGGCAACTGTCAGGTCCGTTCGGTGTGACCTGCCTCTCTTCTGCCTTTCTCTCTCCTGCTCATTCTTTTTGCAGGATCAGCGCCTCAGCTGTGTCGCATTTTGTAATTAGTGACTTGTGGGTTATCGTGGACAGCTGGGGCGCATTACTGTAATCACCCTCCTACCTTATTTATACCTCTGGCGGACAGTCTGCCATCGCCAGAGCATTAACGTGCATACCTCGTAACAGCCCTATAGTCGTGGTATGTATTTGTACGTCATTTTGTTTTCCACGCTGAGAGTTCCTGTGCTGTGGATCGCATTTTGTACGTTGGTTATATGTTTTGTGTTATATACGGTCCACGCTGACAGTTCCTGTGCTGTGGACCTCTTTGTTTGTTTTTTGCCCATGAGGTTAGCCAGACGCTACTTGTTTTATCCAAGCTGACAGTTCCTGTGCTGTGGAAAACCGTTTCATTCGCCTACCCTCCTTTGCTTGTTTATTCCCCTGACCGTCCTGTTCCTTCGACTCTCCTGTTTTTTGCTGTTAGCCTGTCTTTTCCCCTGGTCATCCCGGTCTCCTCCACCATCTCTACCCTACTTTGCTGTTTATATATGTTCATGGCCCTTGTTATGTTGTTACTTTGTGTTTTGTTTCATTAAACCCTTTTCTTTTCACTAGCACCTGGGTCTGCAATCTTGAGTTAGTTCTCCCTCACCCTCCTGGTGACATAACCATAACACCAACTTTGCCTGAAAAATGACAAACAATTAACTAATTGTCAAAACAGTTGTTGATTCATTTTGTATTGATCAATTAAATGATTAATTGACTTAATATTGCATCTCTGTGTGTGTTTGGATTTGGGTGCATATGTTTTGAGTACCTTCACAAGCAAAAAAATGAAGTTGTTCCTCGATGAGCATTTTGAATTTCGACAAGGCATAAATAACACTGTCAAAAACCACATAATTAGAGCATGGTACACTGTATGTGTACTTAACCCCATGATACAGACAAGAAGCTTCTACTGTGTCACCAGTCATTCAGCTAATCTGAGGCTACAAACAAAGTCAGCTTTCTGACCAGCATGGAAGCTCTGACTCACGCATTACTGCAAGTTCAACTATCAGGGCAGGAGTGGCAATCCCTCTGTCTTTCACCACATACACACAGATCTGAGGTTTAGAAAGTCTTCCTTTTGTACAGCTTGCCTCTGAAATCAGTTTCCATTAGTTCTACCGTGATTATTAACTTTCCAGTGATGCAGCAGCACAGTCTGAGGCACAGTGACATCAAGCAGTACCCTTGACGAAGGAACAGCACCAAATCACCTGCTGAGGAGCTCAACAAGTGTGCCTGTGCACAAGACAAGGAGAGGAAGAGAAATAGACTCTAGAGAATCTATATGTGTGTGTGTATCTAGAAAAGAAGAGAAGAGTGTACTTACTGCTCAGAGCAATGATGTGGCTGCTGTCTTCGTGGACAAATTTCTTAGTCACTGCTTCCTCCATAATCTGTTTCACCTGCACACAAAGACCTCTGAGTTTGTTACTGTGTCTGGAATCACTATTATTGCTTCTCTTTACAGGAAAAGCTGCATGTAGTTGAGCAATCATCACTATTATCACAATCAACTGCTCATAAACAATACAGTACGGTAATAACCTGCATAATGTAATTTGTTGTCATATTTGTCATAAGTGATTTCTGGGGAAGTGCAGTGCAGAAACACCAGAGCAATTAGCACTTTGCATCAAACAGAAAATGTTGAACAAGCACTGGCAAGCCCACATCAAATGCCTTAAGGTGCTAGACAAAATGAACATGGTAATGATGATTTTGGTATTGTTAGATCCTTACATTCCAAGAGGAATAAAAATTACAAGGGTTTTAAGCTTAATTTAAGCATGATTTCCTTTATAAACCAGAGAAATTAATATATATCCAGCACTGTTTTTGCACAGCTGAGGTTATGTATATAAAGATATTTTTGCCTGATAGTGGCTCTACAGTGTCTGAAATGGAGAGGATGTGCTTTGCAAATTTCATGACAAAATGCTAATTGGATTTTGATATTTTCTGTGTAAAAGTAGAACATTTGAACGGATAAAGGTACAGGATGAAGGGTCAGGAGGACACCAAATGATTACAAGTTGTCTTCTGGGGGACATGAATATTCATGCACAATACATGGAAACCTGGCCATTACTGTTGAGATTCCTTGGATTACAGTGTTGGTCAGTGTGAAATTTTAAATTAAAGCAGCACTAGATGAAAGGTGAGGGGATGAGATCAGCACTTTGTAATAGTAATCTTGGCAATAGATATTTTATCAGAAATATTGTACTCAAAATCATTAGGGTTTGTTGCCATAAGTATCAAAGCTTTTCCCCTGGTTTTTAAATATCTACACACTAACTTCCAAACAAGATCCTGGCATCCCAGAAACATTAAGATGAATCTTTCTGCTACTATCTCTTATGTCTCTTGGAAGGAGAGATACTGACAAAAATGGTGTTCACTTGTCTAAATCTCCTCTCTCCATAAAATTAATTGTCATCAGTAATTAATGCAGGACCTGTCTGACACCTCTGCCTTGTTTGGATCTAACTGATAAACAGAAAGAGTGAATTGCTTGGTTGCAGCATAATAAACCTCTAGCTACATTACCACTCAGCTCAAACTTTCTCCCTGTATTATTGAGGTTGTAGATTAAGTAAAAAAATTTGTGAAGGATTGGCTAAATCATCCATTTTGTAGAGCAGGTGCAAGCACAGGAAAAGTCAATGACAGGCATATATTTTGTCACAAGGATCACTGGTTCCACTTTGTTTTACAGAGTTGAGCTTTTCTGTTGTCACTCACTGATTTCCTCCTCTGGCACCGTGGTAATAATCCAGAAATCCTCAACACAAAGATAAAATATCAGTTTTGACCAAACGATTCCAGGAACTAAATGACCAACAAACTCCAAATCACATTCCTGTTGGCATTTGAAGACTGGAAAGATCAGGATTGCAATGATTCATATTTTTCTCTCCCTGTACTGATTTCACTACCTCAACTGAGCTGACAATCTGATAGCAGTGCTCTCATTGTCCCAAATTAAAAATCTTTATACCTCACTGAGTATAACTCATTGGAATCAATTTTATGGTCGGTAACATGAGGGCAGGTTTCCTGTGGCACTAAAAATTCTAAGTTGGTAGCCTGGTGTGGCTAAATAGAGAAAACGATTTTACAATTTATCAATGACAAAGCAAATTTATTTGTCAGTCGGTCACATCATGGCTGATATCTATTTCACTCAATAAGGTCCGTATCCTTAGGGGACCCCATGGTCCTGAAAGGGGTGGGGTGAAATTATTCATCAATGTGATCAGTCATGTATTTTCTACCTCTAGCCTGTGTGATTTTTCTTTACATGCAAACCTTCATCCATAGACATTCCTTCATCGGACTGCCCCATTTTGCCTTGTGGTTTTTTTTTCTTTTTCTACCATTTTCACTCCTAAGCTACTTTTTTTTTTACCTGGATGTTAGAGAACCTCCAAATTTAACTTGCCACTTTAGGTCAGCTAGCTTATAAGATAGCTAAGCTAGTAGCTTAGTTGATCTTGGCTTCCCCCTCTTCCTCTCCTTCTCCTCTCTCTTGCTTGGAGTGTCACATGTTCAGTTATTCCTCTGTCTCCTTTAGCAATAATGGTACTTGTAATAAATATCAGATGCTAGCAGCATTGGAGGCGAGGCTTACCGAATTGAAAGCACAGCTGCGCACCATGGAAAACAGCTCAGCTAGCCAGGCCCATGTAGCCAGTGCAGTGCTCCTAGATGTAGCTCAGCCCAAGCTAGCCCCTACCCAGCTAGGAAGGAATATTCCCACAACTTCTTGTAACATTCTCTATGAGTTCTACAAAGATTACAGATGGAACATTAGTTGAAAACTTTCCATTAATGTTCTAAGGATTTTTCATTGATAAAAAATGTTGTTGCAATGTTATTTTTGCACCAGTTTATAACGTTCTAACTGAAATATTCAATAAATGAACATTTATTGAAACGTGAATGCAATGTTTGTTTGCAAACACTGAAGCAACGTTGCATATTTAACAAAAATAAAATGTTCTGGCTGCAACGTTTCGAGAACCTTCTCAGAATGTTCTCAATGTAATGTGTCTTGGATAACATTCAGGCAATGTTATTTATTAGACGATGTTAGAACATTGTGGCTGCAACATTCCGAGAACCTTCTCAGAATGTTGTCAATGTAAGGTGTATTTGATATGTTAGAAATTAATAAATCAGTCAGATAATTATTAGAGTTTAATGTGTTAGACTTTAATGTGTTATTAATGCAGTTTAGTAAGATTCAAAGTGTGTTCCTGTGTGCTCGGCTTCAAGGTTAGAAGATAATGTTGACTCTGAGAAGGGTGCCTTGACACCAGTTATTTTTGTATTAATCTTGTGTAAGAATTATGTTTGAAAGAGTGTGTATTAATCTTGTGTAAGAATTATGTCTGAAAGAATGTTTTAGCTACATATGGAATTCTTCGTTTTGTTATGACTTGTGCTCGATGCATGCGGAGCATAAGATATGAGAAGGAGACGTCGGACTGTCTCCAGCTCCTGATGTTTTTACATCTGTCTGTGTAAGGGGTTAGTCCAAAACCTTATAAATCTATTAGGCTTTGTGTTTCCGGGGTCTCCTTTCTTCCAGCAGTTGTCTGGAGCAGGAGCCACCCGGGTTTGTGTTTCTGTAACTTTTTATTGTGGCTTTCAAAATAAATCAGCACTAAAATGAAGCAAGTCGGACTCCGTCTTCATTCAGATCTGTTCAATAAAAGAACTGGGGTATAACAAATAACATTCACGCAATGTTATTTATTAAACAATGTTAGAACATTGTGGCTGCAACATTCCGAAAACCTTCTCAAAACATTCTCACTGCAATGTTTCTCAGATAATTTTCAGGCAATGTTATGGTCTGGTGAACTCACAGAATTTTTGGCTTTATAATTCAACACAATCAAAAATTTTATGTTAAAATAACATGTGTACATTTGCCCCTTTACCCTTCTTAGATTACATTTATGAATTAATGTGCAACACTTTTTTTCTAATGAAATGTAATTTAAAGAAATCAAACATAATCAAGATATCAATGGGGGAAAATAATCAACAAATTTACAAATTACACAAGATTAATCAGTGATGAAATGGAACCACAAAGCTGGCAAAACTATAGTTATTTTGTCTGTCCTGCCCCCAATGTGGAGGGTGTAAATGTAAATGATTGAGCTATGTGACCAAATGCTAAACTGATGAGCCAGCCATAGAGATATAAATGGTTGTGCTTATCTGTGTTGGATGTAAATGTTTGTGTGTGTGTGTATGTGTGTGTGTGTGTGTGTGTGTGTTGGGGGGGTCAAATGTCGGAGCTTGAGAAAATGACCCCTGGACTGAGTGATGGATGAAGTGGAGTGTAGACCAGGCCTGCTGTAACTTGATTGATTGATTGATTGATTTTATTCTTTCAAACATGCAGAACAGAACAAATGAACAAATGGCAACAACACACATAATTGCACATATCTAACCAATGCTAATCCAAAATCAGTTTGCTTACACATATTACATGTTTGAATGGAGTAGGAAGAAGTCAGACTTATCCAGTCCTACCCCATGACATCATATTATACAAAAATTAATGCTTCATTGGCTGCAAGCAGTATCTCTACATTAATAAACAGAGTATTTCCTTAATGCCTTCTCGAATAATCTTATTCTTGCATATATCTTGTATAACACATACATTTATATTTATGTTTAAACTCCTCAATTCTAGTACTATTTTTCATGTCCACAGTTAAATTATTCCATAATTTGACCCCACTTATAGAAATACA